AATAGCTCCTGGTTATCCTTATCTCTTATTTTAGGGATTATTTTCCTTTGCTCCTGAGCACTGGTAGGTGAGGCACTATTGCAGCCTGGGCTGATGGTACTGCTTTTTACATTTTATCACCTCAGTGACCTTATCCATGATGGATGACAGTCCCGTCCTTCCTGCAGAGAGCTGTATGAGCACTTGTGGGGAGAAGTCCTTGGAATTTGGTGCAAGTGGCAGCAGTGTCCCTCTCCACTGTTGTGTGGCAGCTCTCGAGGACCAGAAAACTGTTTAATTGGCTATCCTTTTGATAACCAGGGTGTATGTGCCTGCTGAGCAGCAGTAATATTTGGCAGTACTAGTGGAGCCTTTCCATTATTTCAGGCCTGAGGAATACTGACTTTTCTAAATTACCATTTTATGAAAGGTATTTACTACAAATTCATGCTGTTTCACAGCTTTTCTGTGCTCTGAATGCAACAGCAGAATCAAAACTAGCCACAGGTCTTACGTGAAAGGTTTGCCTTTTCCAAGGCAAGGGAAATCACTTTTCATTTCAATCTTAGTCAAGTTTTAGATATGTTTTCCCTCATGATTTGGGGTGAAACACCAACAAAAATCCTGTTTGGCTGGCTCCAATAGTTAAGTGCAAAAATAGAGCTGTTAACATGATACACAGTAGCATTGATAGAAACAACCATTTCCTTTTTGTGTAATGTTACAAGAAACCCAACACTGACAATGTTTTGAATGAACTGACACTTTTTTGCACCTCATTACACTTTTTATGTATGAGGTCATCCTACTTTTTTGTTTCAAGGCAGAAAAATGTTACTTCCTGAGGTGACAATGAACATAATCAAGTTCTCTACAGTTTTGCCAGAGCTGGTAAGGAGCCCAGATCACTAATATCAGAAATCTTGGCTTTTTAACCACCCTCACTGGATTGGAGCACAAAACATGCTGATTGTGCTCTTTTCACCATTGGCAACATCCTTCCCGAGTTGGATGTGAAAAACAGGATCTTTCATGGGGAGGAGAACAGTTGGGGGTTGTCATTTAACTTCGTCTCTGGTAGCAGTAATCTGTGTTTATTAGTTCAAAGTTCCTGGTTTCCAGAGCTGCTGCTGACTGGTGTATTGAGCCAGTGTAAGTCTGTGAGAGAGAAGCTGTGTACAGCTGGGCTGGAACAAGCCTTGGAGAAGGTGGCGACTTGATTTCATGCTGTGGAGACTCAGCAGGCATAAAGCTCCTGCATTTCATGTTTCTCAGTTGGATTTTGTGGGAGGAAGCTTATGCTAAAATAATTACACTGTGATGGTTGAGTATCGTTTTTGCTTCCTCATGGATCATACAATAAATAACTATTGTATTTTTGTACTCTTTGGTATCTGTATTATCTGTTTCAGTCAAATTTATGTTGAATTGTGAGAGAAGTTAATTAGTTGTTTTGCAGTGCCTTAAAATGTACCTTGCACATGTATGGGGAAGTTCAGGAACATACTGGGGCTCTGCCATGTGCCTGAATGTAATACTTAAGCCTGTAATACCCAGTCCAGCTGTTGTCATACAGTGTTTTTTAACCTCTACCATTAAAAATAAGTATTAAAATATATTACTCACATTTTACACAGTGGAACAAAAGCAGTTTAAAACTTCTGGGCTGTTCTGCATGGTCAAGACAACCTCAGCTGTCTGAAACACTTGTTTAGTGGCTTTATATGATGCCCGACTGCATTGTTGTGTTTGCGTTGTTCTTTCATAAAAAGACTTTTTGGTTTCTCATAAATACCTTGCATTATTTTCTGACAAAAATCAGGACTTTTCTTTCATCAGTTTGTTTGTCCAGTATCACATCAATGATGCTCCATATCACTCAGTGAAGACACAATGCAGTGTGCGTTGGCAAATGTGTTGAAACAATTTCCAGTCATTTTGGCTAAGTCTTGGAGGAAGTGGAAAGTAATAAAATACTAACTCAAAAGGCTGCCCATCCTTTCGATGATCTGGAAAACGAGACCTAACACCAGAAGTTAATTGCAGTGAGCATCCAGTAGCAAAATTTGAAATTCATTATTCTTTTTCCTTCTCATTGTAGTAAGAAAACTTACATTCTGTGTTTATTAGCCTCAACTGCACAACCTCTGATTTTATTCTAAACAAACTTGTGTGTCACAGCAGAGGTATAAAACTCTCTTCATGTTACACGAATATTAGTTGGTCTCACGACCTGGCAGGTTTTTCTCTAAACCAATGGAGTTAATGAAATTACAATCTCCTTGGTCAAATCTTGGAAATAGCTCAGTGCGAGGGGCAGTTATTTACACGAATTGGAGAGATAACAGATTTTAGCTGCGGAGGCTCTCAAGGGTGGAGTCAGCGCTTGTTTATGGAGTTTGGCTTTCCCGTGTCCCTACGGAGCAATTCCCAGTAGTCACCTCCTTCCCTGTTTTCCCTTGAGCCGGGGCCCTTTATCATGCTTCACTCGGCAGGCTCTGAGAAAGCCGAGGCTGCGCTGTCTCGCGTAGGCTGCGCCTGGCCGTGTGAACAGATTACAGCATTCCGCTTGTTCCTATGAGCCGCAGAGCAGGAACGGTTCACTGTTACGTTACTGGGCAATGATAAAGTTGGCAGTCTTTTTATGGTTAGGTCCTCAAAGTGGCAGTTCGTGTTTTAGTGATAAGGAGACAGAGCTTTGGTTATCGGACCCAGACTTACTATCTCTAACAGTGAACCGTGGCTTAAATCCTTCCACAATGACAGGAACCCCTTCTGGAGTGACGGTTTCCAGAATCTAAGCAGGAGATACTGAGGCATTTTCCTTCCTCATGAGTCAAAGCAGAGTTAACCCCATTGTTACCATAAAAAAAAATCAGCTATGAAGAAGGAGGCATTTTTATATTTAACTACATCTCTTCCTTTATATTGGAACTTTGAGCATAATTTTCAGGCAGATCTAGGAGGATGAATTAGCGACATTAGACTTAAAAGCTTTCACTTGAGTATTGAAAGAAGCACTAATGAAACCCTATGTTGCAATACTTAACATTGCTTTAACATGTTTGTCAAAGGAGGTGAACTAGATATTAGTAACGTGTATTTCTTGCAAGATCTTTGTTAATATTACCTAAACTAAGCTTCTAATCATGCCCTGCATACGTATGTTGATGCTGAGCACCATGTAAAGACACATTTGGTTTTTATTTAGAGAGTTCTGTGGGTTGCAGGGGTTAAGTGTAATCCAGATTATGCAGTGTTAACATTTTCCCTGCTGATATCAAAGTGTGGAAGACTGGCAGGCTGACTTGTTAGGAAGGGCTGTGAGAGGGATAACAAGCTCCGACCTTGAGAGCCTGAAGAGCCGGCCCTTGTATGGCCACATCCATATACGTGTCCAGCTGATTGGGTAGAGGAGCGGGATGGGGGCTGTGACAGGTGCTGGAGGAACCTACACCTGTTTTCCCCATATGCTGATTTAGTGATTGCATTTTTGTGGGAGTTCCAGATACTGTGTGGGATCCGCAGAGCAAGCCAAGAAACTTGAGAAGGAATTTCAGCTTATGGTGACCCGTGATATTCAAGGATTTCAGATGGCGTAACTTGAATTTTCAAGTGCTGCTTGAAAACTGAAGTAGAAATAGGAATTATCTTGTATATATGTGTAGAGTGAGAAAGCCTTGTGTACTTCTAACTGCGCTGAAAATTAGGAGATAGCACTTGAAGAAGAAATGCCCATGAATACTGTAGTCTAAACTAAAACCGTGGGGGTTTTTAATCAGAAATACAGTCTTATGGAAACATATTTGCTGTAGGAAAAGAAATGCACTTTTTTATGGTGCCGAGATACTGGCTTTCAGATTTTAAATCTTCAGGGGTTTTAGTTAAAATTCATAGGTAATTTCTCACAAAAAAATAACCACAGAACCCCCCTCATACCTGCATAGTCCTACTGCTGCTTTATGTACTCTAATGTATGCCTGTTAAAAAATAGATACTGATTTCCTTGTGAAACTTTTAAAAACGTTAAATATTTTTCCATGGGGAATGTTTTCTATATTGTATTGTCATATGTGAGAAGTTGCAAAGAAAGATTTCTGATTGTGTAATAGGGTGAAAAAGAAAAACAACAAAGAATACAAATATCCTTTAAAATCTGGTGATGAGACCTTTACTGTCACATAGAATCACTTCAGTTGGGAAAACCCATGAAGATCATTGAGTCTACCCGTTATCCAGATGCTGCCAAGTCCGCCACTAAACTTCGGTAGCTTATTTGTAATGCCTCGATCGTAGGCAAGTTTGTTTTTTTTCCAGGGGTTGTTGATGCGAGCTCTCCATCAGAAAACAGGAAATAGCTCAAAAAAGCAGTTGCATCCAGTTAGGCTAAAGGAGTCTGAAAAAAATTATATTTGGCAGACTAAGTCATTGTAGAGAGGGATTATGTAATTTCTTTTTATACTGTTTTTGCAGTTCTTGTTATCATGCAGGATGACAGAAATACAGGAAAGTCCTGCTTTTATAACAAGTGTTACATATGTGAATGTACTGCAGTTGTTGAATTTGATTGCAGATTTTAGCCACTGTGTTTCTCGGAGCTTAACTCTTTGCTCTTTAAAATTTGGGTATTGGGGTACTAAAATCAGTATTTTAAAAATCCAGTAAACTGGCTTTTAATTCATGGTGATGGCATTAACTCTTGCCACAGGCTCGAATGTTCCTTGCATGTCAGTCAACATCACCCTAACAGCCAGTATCTAAAAGCAGTTTTGCATGAAATGCTGGAGAGACGAAGTGGGTGTAGGTTAAAAGTTACCCATGTTATGGCACCTGGGAGAGCCTCTGAATGAACCTTTTCTCTTCGTGTACTATGCCGCTGTTTTGAAAGCCTGTCTGTTGAACAGTGAGTTTTGTCTGTCAAAGTTTCATGTAGTTTCAGTGGCTCTGAATGATTCAGTAGTATACAAAACTTCTTGGCAAGTTAGGATGATTTGTATGTGAATTTTCCAATTGTATTTCAGACCTTAAGAAAGAAAGGCCTTAATGGTTGTGAGAGCCCTGATGCTGACGATTACTTTGAGCACAGTCCACTATCGGAGGACAGATTCAGCAAACTAAATGAAGATAGTGATTTTATTTTCAAGCGAGGCCCTGTAAGTACTTTTATTTTATCTCTACTTTTTATTTGTTGATCCTTTTTATTAACTTCATTATTTAGGCTCTGAACAAGAAGGAACACAGAGGGTGCGACAGCCCGGACCCTGACACTTCATATGTGCTCACGCCACATACAGAAGAAAAATATAAAAAAATTAATGAAGAGTTTGATAATATGATGCGGAATCATAAAATCGCAGTGAGTACTAAAGTATGGTTTGTGCTTCTATTACATGCATGAGAATTTTCATGGTGTTTGCTTACCACTGAAAACCACTGCAAAGACAAGAGGATGTAACGGTTTGAGAGCGGAGTATATGTTTTTTGAGGCAAAATGAGATGCTGATACTTGTTAAAATGCGTTTTATCTTACTAAGAAGATTTATCTATAGCTTCTCTTTTCCACTCACAGTTTTCCATACCTTGTGAACATGAGGTAACATTTCTCAATTTCAGGAGCTTAGCTGCTTTGCTAATCCTACCCAAAATATTCTTATAAAGATAGATTTTGTCGTGGGATGTAGGATAGTTTATTTACATCTTGTAGCTCTTTATCTGTTGATCAAGGTTTTACAGTATGCTACAAACAGGCAGATAGAATTGCATTAATTTGGCCATCAAACCGGTGGGATTTGTTTTGTTGAAGACTGGATGAAGAAAGGCATTTTAGACGTTTAAAGATAATGGGAGCCTTAAAAGACAGGTGTCTTATTCCTGTTGACATTCTAACAGATATTGCCTTGGCCACTGAAAGATCTTGGAAAACTTTGCCCCGGGTTCCAACCCATTTGCAGTAATAAGTCACTTGGCTCCAGAACTCAAGAAGCTTGGGAGTAACAGCAGTGTAAATTTTGCATTTGTCCCACGGAGGTGTATGTAATGACACTTAGTTTCCATCTACAAAACCCAATTAGTATGGAGTATTACAGGGGAAGTATTTTGTAAGAAAACTAATACAGGGCTCTGCCACAGCCTTTGAATTTTTTAACATTGCAAATCTTGTAGCAATTAAAGTAAGTGGACTGAGTAGGTTAATCAGCATGGACCCTGGGGCACTTAGAGTAGTGTGTCCCCAAATGACTGGCTGGTACTAGAAATTATTTCATTGTTGAGAGAAATAAGGCCATCTCTGGGACTGTCAGCAAACTGGCAGTCTCAATACCCAGCATCACTTCTTACAGCAAGTTCTTTTATACTTGAATGAAACCAATATCTTTGTTTTGAAGCTTTTGATGTCCAGCTTTTCTTTGCTGAGACATCTTCAGGCATCATCTCTCAGTATGTTACAGCTAAACTGCTCTCACTTGATTTTCTGTGGTCTTCATGAACAGTTTAAATTGTCTGTGTGGACATCAATGTAAATAAAGAAGGCAACATTATTTTGTGGTTCTGTATTTATAGCTTAAATTGGGCCTGTTTTGGTTCTGTTTCCAGTATTTATGGGTCTTTACAAAAACCGGGTTTCTTTTGTTCTAGTGCAGTCATTACTGTCAAAGGATAGGAATGAGGCAAAGCATGAAGAATTCAGTCATAACCAAATGAGTACCATAGATGGGCAGAGGCAGCCTTTGTTGTAAGGTGTGGGGGGAAGCTGTCTTTTATTAGTTCTATATTGAGACACCTACAGAAAGAATGTTCCAACTGTTAGCTTCTGGCATTGTTTTAAGCAATTCAGGTATTTCAAATTTAGGTTGAATTGCTTGGCAGTGTGCTGTTTGAAAAACAACCTTCTTTTTGGTAGATACTGAATAGTTTCTCAAAGCATTTTCCCATGAAAACAAAATGCCAGTGCAGCTTGTCATTAGTTAGATACTGTGAATGATTTGCTAGCATTATGTCACTATGCTCTATTGCTTTTTCCTTTTGTTGGTGCCAAAAATTGATAATTATTCTTAGAATGCTTCAGGAGGGATGCTGTCATTGACTGTCACCAGTAAGAGATTTTGCTTCTTGTAGAAAATGCATTCTGTTCTTTTAATTAGTAATTGTTTTATTTCTATCAAAATCATTGTACAGAAGTCTCATTCCAAGTAAATTTTCAGCGGCACATGACAGCAGTGCTTCTCTTTAAGTATACTTGCTAGGTCATGAATGTTTGTTCATCCGCATTTGACCTCTAAATCAGAACTATTATCTCTATATTCTGTCAATAAATGCCACTTAAGTTTTGCTCTTAAATTGTACCTGTTTTGTTTCCAGTAATTATGAGAGTTGTGAAAGAAAACAGTCCCTTTTGTTTCAGAAACTCATCACTCTCAAAGGATAGGAATGAGACAAAGGCCGAACAAGTTAGTCATAACCAAATGAGTACCATAGATGGGCAGGCATCTAAGCTTTTGATTCAAGTAGCTGTTGAATAACAAACATATATACTTGAGAAAAATAGTTGCCTTGTAAATAACACTGGAAAACTTTGAATTTTTGAAAAAATGAGATTTGCAAAAAAAGAAAGATGGAGGGGTTATTCAAGCAGGGGGTTGTGCAATACAGTCACAATAATGACAATGAAAATGTTTAAATTTAAACTACTGACCTTAATGATTTTCTAAAGATCTGTTTACTTCTTTTAGTCTGTTGAAAAAGAAAGTTATAGGGATTAGTAGCAGTATCTTGGCATGGTTATGAATAGAAAATGTTATTACTAACTTTTTCTTTTTGTGTGTAATTGACTTTATTTTATACTGTGCATGTTTATGCTTACATTTTGAAGGTACAGCACTTCAGTGATTTGTAGACATGTGTTGTAACTTGTCATTGCTTTGTAATAATCCAAATTAACTGGCGAATTTGTGGTATTTCTGAGCTTGTGAATTCATATGAATTTCCAATTTTTTTTGCATTTGAACTTTGATTACTGTAGCAGTGTATGAGTAATTATTTTGGAACTGTATTTATATGATGTCTAAGAGTTTAACACTGTGCTCTACAACAAATGGATGTTTTAAAATTACATGCTTAATACAGTTTAAAAACTAACATAATTAACTATTTTTTTTTAAACCTGAGTAATTCTTGGCAAACTTTAATGTGTATTTTTATAATGTGCTATTGCTGCAGAACTAGTTATACTAATGTTGTTGTTCTGTGTGTGTTCCTTGTCTTCTTTCCTTCAGCCTGGCTTGCCTGCTCAGAGCTTCTCGATGTCGGTTACAGTTCCAGTGTCCAATCCCAACACTTTAACCTACAGTAACCCAGGGAGTTCCCTTGTATCCCCATCACTGGCTGCCAGTTCATCATTAACAGACACAACCATGCTCTCCCCACCTCAGACCACCCTGCATCGGAACGTATCACCTGGGGCCCCTCAGAGACCACCAAGTACTGGCAATGCAGGTGAGAGTTCAGTACTGTTGTCCTTTCCTTTTATACACTCTTGTTGGACATGGATCTGTTGGAATGGGTCCGGAGGAAGCCACGAAGATGTTCTGAGGGCCAGAGCATGTCTGCTCTGGAGCCAGGCTGAGAGAGCTGGGCTTGTTCAGCCTGGAGAAGAGAAGGCTCTGGGGAGACCTTAGAGCAGCTCCCAGTGCCTAAAAGGGCTGACAAGAAAGCTGGAGAGGCACGTTTGACAAAGGCATGCACTGACAAGAAAAGGGGGAGTGGCTTTAAACTGGCAGAGGGGAGATTGAGAGTAGACGTTAGGAGGAAATCCTTTACTGTGATAGTGGTGAGGCATTAGTACAGGTTGCCTGGAGAAGTTGTGGCTGCCTTATCCCTGGCAGTGTTCAAAGCCATGTTGGATGGGGCTTGGAGCAGCCTGGTCTAGTGGAAGGGGTTGGAACTGGATGAGCTTTAAGGTCCCTTCCAACCCAAACCATTCTATGCTTATTAAAAAAAAAACAAAACAAACACAAGCAAATAACCCCCAAGTAACAAGTTCTTAATGGTATTGCTGCATTTTCTCTTTTTTAAAGGCTTAAGCTTTGAAGTACACAGTGATACAGCATCAGTTTAATTTAATGCTCTTTTTTTTGTTGTTAGGTGGAATGATGGGGACAACTGACCTCGCAGTGCCAAATGGAGCTGGTACCAGTCCAGTTGGTAAGTGTGGTATCATCTTTTTGTTGAAAAATAGTATTGTGTGTTTAGTTTCACAGTTATTCAGAAGCAGATTTTTAGTTGGACTCTTTCAGAAAAGGTTGCAGAAGAACAAAGGTTGTAGTTTTCTTAGTTGCAAGTGTTAAATCTTGTAAGTTCTTGTCAGGCATTTAACTTTTTTCTGCCATGCCCCTTCCACTTCAGTAATAGTTGCATTTTTTGTTAGTGGTTTTCAGTAGTAGCATGCTGCTCTTGCTTTTCTGTTTCTCTACAGGTATAATTTAACAGAACTCTGAAGAGATCTTATGTGCACCAAATGTCTTACTTTGTATGAAATATACTGCACTCACTAAACTATTACACTAGAGACAACTTGGCTGTGTTCTCGAGCTTAGTATTTGCAAGACCTGGTTGTGGTGCCAATCAAAAGGAAGAAAATACAGACTGTATTGTTTGTATTGCCATGTGTATCTTGCTAATCATTTTGTAGCAATTATACAAAGAAAGCAATAAATCTTGGAAGCTCATAGCGAGGTTCTGTCTAAATTTTGGAAGATGATCAGGATTTCTTTCAAAAACAAATTAGAGATGTTGCCAAAAATCAAATTCACAGTATGTTTTGGTCTTCAGTAAAAAGATATGATAGCGCTTTTTCACTTAAATAATATTTTGTCTCCCCTACACAAAATCTAGTACTCTGATAGAGGGCAAACAGCCACTGAAATTTATCATGCCACTGAAAGGCAAAATAAATGATAGTTCATCCACTTCCTTCATGTTCCTTCCATGCCTTGAGATGTCTTGGTGACTGAAGGTCAGTTGTGCAAATACACATAACTCTCCTTGGTATGTGTTTGTAGCAAGAGAAGCAACTGTTGACCTTTCAGTATTTACCCACAGGCTACTTAGTGTGGCAACTGGGGAAAAAGTTCTTTGAAGATGAAGTCAGGCAATTGAATTGATGAATAAAAAATGCCCTAGCTTACAAGGCTGAAAGCACAGAATTGACTTCCCACTCTTTATCCGTTCTTTGCCTATGTGCAGCAAAGATATGAAATATTAAAGAGTGGTTTCTATCAGGTAAGCAAGATTTTAAATGGAGGAAACTTCCTCAGCCGAAAAAAAGTTGACTATTTTTAGAAACTGTGGAGGTCAGATGTGGATTTCCATAGCATTTCTCAAGTCAGACTAAATAAGTTTATTATCAGGCTGTTTCAGGCCTCTTTTCCAAAATCAGGCTTTAGTAACAACAGCCTCAGATTTAAGATTCCTGCTTTCAGTAAGCAAATAGAACAGTTGTTTACAGCACTTGCTATAGCATATTAAACCGTAGAAATACCCGGTTACAGCAGCTTGGTGAACATATTTAATGCCATAAAATGTTTTCCTTCTTGCATTTATTAATAGTTTATGTGAAAAGTCAAAATGCATCACTTATCTCTTACTTTCCAGAACATCGCACCCAAAATGTTACACATATACCCACTCATTTCTAGAAAGATTTTTTCATACAAGAGTTGTGGCTATAGAAGATCAGTGGAACATTTATAAGTACCACCTTTAGCATCACTGAGCTACCTAGTTAACACCAGGATACTAAGCCACAGAGTGCCCTAAGTTGTCAGAGCTCTGTTTTCTACTAGGACATGGCATGGCTTCTTTTGAATACTGTTGGGTGCACAGTAACCTTCTGAGTTGAAACCAAAATCAAGAAACCACACATAACCAGATTGAGTAAATCTGCTAACTTGTCAATCTGAGCTTGACAGCTGCCGTTGAAGGGTGCATATCAAGTTAATTATGTCTGCAGACAACAATGGTTTTAGTTTCTTGCTGCATTTATCGTACAATTCACTTTAAAAAGCTTGTGTTTTCTTCTTCTAGCTTTTGATCTTTTAAACTTCTCAGGAATGGAGAATTCTGCTATGGATATAGTTGTGAAAGGGCATATATCAGATTTGCAGCTCATAATCTATAGGAGATGTCAAGATGGAGTATTGGCAAACCCATATTCCTAGATACTCTCTTACAGACAAAGGAAAAAATATCCAAGTCTTACTTGGCATTATGAAGTTTTGAGCATTTGAGATTTTGTTCTCATTTCATTCAAAGCTACTTACATGTCTTCATCTCTGAATAAAAAGCAAATAAAGGTTATCTTCCCTAGTTGGGACCCAGTTCAAACAAAGATGTTGCATAAAATGGCTCATATTCAGTTCATATGAGTCTTTTTCTCAAGTCCTGTGTAACTTGATTGGAATAGATCTGATTTGCTTTAGCAGTCAATCTGCCAACTTAACAGTTTTTCTGTGGAAAAGAGAGTAAAAATATCTGCCTGTTGTAGCAGAGATTGGTAGGTGGGTTTTTATATCTAGAACAGAAAAAATTGTGATTATTTTATAATACTGAGAGCTCACTTCACACGCAGCTGTCATAACTCTGCAAAAGCATTCTTATTTTGTAGTATTTTTAAAATGTTACCCACCACATAAAAACCATCTGCTGGATTTTTTACTTGGCAAATGTAGGAGGGGGGAAATGTCCAGCATTATGACACTGTTTGCTTTTGAGCTAATTTATTTTTTCTGTGAATTAGATCCAGTGTTTTGGAGCTAGGGTTTTCATGGTAACACTGCCTGCGGTCAGTGTTAAACTCTGTTCAGTTTTTGATGGGCATCCAATATGCTGCAGGAATCTGCTCTCACCAGGGTGCGTACACCTTGGTACTTGTTGTCAGCATGATCATGGCTTGAGCACCTTGCATTTCCGTATCCTCCTTTCAAAAGGCTGTGGATTCTAATTAGGCAAAGTGTAGCCTCACTTGCTCTGAGTACCCAGATGAGGCAGGGAGTTTCTTTGCCTTTGAACTGAAAGGATTTGCTGGATGGATCACCTTCAGATTTGTCAGGAGGAGGTCTGTTGTGTTCCAGCAGTCAGTGTTACACCTTGAATCATCCAGAAGTGCCAGTAAAGTGCAGTTCCAGTGGTCCCATCCTTGAGAATCAGGAGGACCCAAAAGAAGTACCACTGTTACCAGAGTTTGCTTTTTCTTCCATACCTTTCATGGAGGGCATTGAGCTAGAACCATGCAAAGGAACCTGACTGGTTTTTATTACCGAGGCTGCATGAAAACCATAAATCTTAAGACCTTTGTACTGAGATGAGTTCCCTAAGTTCTTCGCAGTCCTAGATGATCTCATTCCTAGATGATTTTGAAAGAGCTGTTGAAAGTGGAGGCTCTTTATGGTCTCTCAGAGACAGACTATTATTTGCCTGTGGATTTCTTTGTCAGCGAAATAGCCATTCTGGTCAGTAATACAGATTATGGACCCAGTTAATCTTCTGGGAAATTATCTTTACAATTTTGTCATCAGAAGAATGGATAAGAAGGGTCTGGTCTTCTTGAGTAGTGAATTTTTAATCTTTGTTCCAGAGCTGTGTCTCCTCTGATGTCCTCAATAATCTTCAGATTCTGATATGTGAAGTAATTTTAGGAATGTTGAATTTCTTTGGAATACAGCTTTGTCTTGAGAGCTATTGTATCTCTATTAAGAGCCAGTCTAGGTCATGTGTGATCTTTTATCCTGGCCCAAGGATGGATTATGCTGAGGTGCAACTGACAGTTTGCACGCACCTGTAAACTGCTTGTATACTGCCAGAAAGGGATCAAGACAGAGAACTGTGAAGAGCCCCACCTGTAAAGGGTTCCCTTTGTCTTGAGGGCTTGGCTGACTGGGAGAGCTTTTTCTGTTGTCTGAGGATAAAAGAATCTTTCAGCTTGGTCTTTCATAAGTCTGAGTCAAGTGGCTAATATGCTGCAGTTCTTAAGAGTACACCTGAAGGCTTCAGTAACAAAACAGCTTTCTGTTGATACCCTTTTAATTGTGTTGTTTTGCATATTAAATGGGAGACACCCCAATGAAAAGTATCCAGCTAACTCTGGAAAAACATACCTCTTGCAGGAATTCTGCTTGAAACTGGATTGCAGCTATCAGCCTCTTCCTTAAGAAAAGGGACTTCCTTCTTCCTCCAGCCCCACTGTCAAACTCACCAGCCTATGTCATCTGCATCAGCTAAAAAGCTTAGCACTGTTGTAGATGACCATCTTAAGAAAGCAAATTTTACAATGGCATGTAGCGTCAGGACAAGGGGGAATGACTTTAGACTGAAAGAGAGGAGATTTAAATTAGATATTAGGAAAGAATTCTTCCCTGTGAGGGTGCTGAGGCGCTGGCACAGGGTGCCCAGAGAAGCTGTGGCTGCCCCATCCCCGGCAGTGTTCAAGGCCAGGTTGGGCACAGGGTCTTGGAGCAAGCTGCTCTAGTGGAAGGTGTCCCTGCCCGTGGCAGGGCTTGAAACTGGGTGAGCCTTAAGGTCTCTTCCAGCACAAACCAGTCTGGGATTCCATATAATGTCACCTTGCGCAGGATACACCACCACAAATCCTCAGATGTTCCAAACACTTCATTGCTGTCATCCATCATTTACCATTCTTTACATTGGCATTGTATAGATACATAGAAATCAACAAGTTCAGAAAGCAGAAGTCTGATTTCATTAGCTGTAAGCTGTATTGTTAACAAAAGACCTAGAAGTCATCTAGTTACCACTTCTAGCATTTCACACAAAGCTGAGTAATACTGAGATACAGAAGGAGTATTCCTTTGTTTTAGGTTTTCTGCTGCATTCTGAATAACAATCCTGGTCTTGAAGAAAGACCATTTAAATTCTGAATATTCTTGAATATTTTCTCTCCTTTTATGTAGCTTTAGGCAAGGAAAAAAAATGAAGATATGTCAGCAACCTGGGAAATGAGGGGTTTATTTTAGTTTTCTAACATGAGTAAGCATTCCCTTGACACTTAGTCATGTGTTTTTCTTTTGATGAGCTTTAATAGCCAAAGTACTGCTTTAGAAGCATAAATTGCACACGTTAGACATGTTTCTAAATCTTACATTACTGTCAAAGGTATGTTTTAATTCTAAGCATAGCATTATCTGAAGCATTGATTTGTAAAGATCAGTGGAAATACATTTATTTCAGCTTAAGATGTAAATGCTTTCCAAAACTATCAGAGAACTTAGGCTTTGAAATGATGATAGAATCAGCAGTGATTGCTGTGCAAAGCTGGAGAGGCTATGAATGGCATATGCTAGGTTTTGGCTGTAGGGATTCTTATTTTTTATTTAATTTCCACTTATAGCTGTCATACAGAAAAGATTAAATAAATTGAGCATTGAATGCACATAGAAATGCTGCTGTTGTATTTACTTGCAGCATGTCGTTCATCCCCACCAAGATCTTACATGTGAATGTTTCTCTTCAGTAGATTTTATCTGGTCTTCTAGATGCATAGTGAATTGATGGCTTATTGAAAGCACAGTTTTCAGTTTACTTCTAATTACATGACACGTGTTGGGCTGTATGATGTCATTTGAGGAATCAATATTTATTTACTACCCTTGTTATTTTTTGCTTAATCTTATCTTGCTTAGATGCTTGCCTACAATTATTTTCCAAATCTGCGTATAACTGTCCAGTTTCTCTGAAGGTGAACCACAAAAAAAGATTAATGGCATCAATGCCTGTAATATATTCCTTGAGTAGTAATAAGGACATGGAGCGCTTTCCAGCCACGTGTGTTCATTGTTTCAGGTGATGTGATTTATATAGTGAAGTATGAGTCTGGCTCATGTAATTGAATGCTACATCGAGGGCTGCAGGATAGTAAATGAGATTAAGCTGTATTATGTCTCTGAAGGCGAAATACACAGTTGTTAAAATGGGTGGGTTTTAAGGTTTAGCTTCAGAAAAGAAGTGACTTCAAAAGTAAACATTTTCTGACCAAACAAGAAGTAGGCTAATGCACATTGGCAGTGTTTGTTATCATGAAATCTAATTAAATTATGATTCATATAATTGAGAGCTTATCATCTTTGCACTGGTGTCTGTTTTCCAAAGAAGTGTTTTGAACATGTTTTCATCGTCTGTTTTACAGAATTAGAGATAAATAAAACTCTGCCAATGGAAGTAAAAACAGTCTTATTTTACACTTACGTAGGATTTTATATTCTGTTTCCATTTTTCAGTTTAATAGTGTTTTTAAACATAAAGTCATTGTCTTTGGGGAAGATCTATAGTGGGTGGGGTAGATACAATTTCTGTATCATACAAAGTAGTAAGTAGGATTTATGGGGTTATTAAAGCTTCAGTTTGGCAAACAGCCGCATAGTTGCATCATCCTGTAATCATTATCTTCTTCTGGCTCCTGACCTTGCTCTAAAGAAATACCATGCTTTTAGTTATCCTTTCACTCTTAACTTGTAATTTGATTTTCTTATTAGATTATTAACAGGAAAAAAGGCTTTACGTTTCATACTAAAAATGAATATTTCAAACTCTTGTTGCAGCTCCAGCATAAGATTCTTTAGATAATCAATAGAGATACTCCAGTTTTTGCTACATGTTCGGTGTCTGCCATTTATAACAAAGGGCTGCTATGGGGTTGATACCTGTAGTATTGCACACTTCTGACATTTTTTGTTTCTCCTGTTCTTAATATATTGTTTCTAAACACTCACTTTAAGAAATTCTCAGCTTTTCTTCAGGACAAATGCCTTGACTCTGCACTGCTCCTGAATGATATTGCACAGAGGAGGCAATGGCAAGGAGTTTGTTGTTTTTGACAGCACTACTAAAAGCATGAAATGTTTCTGAAGGATTGGCAGAGCCTTGTAATAAGGGCTGCAGGAAATGACTGTACTGGGTGTGGAAGAAAGACACTGTCCAGATTTAACACACGAGCTACCGAAATACTTGGAAACAGAGGACAGGAAATGGTATCATAGGATAGACTAAAATGCTGTACAGAACTCCATTGTTTATACAAAGTGTTATTGTTCTGGAGTTTGAATTCAACTCGGAACATCGCAGCTTTGGCATGGAAAAGGTAATACTTACAGCCTAGTGAGCAATAAAAAGCAATTTATTATTATTAGATTAAAGCCCAGACTTATTTTATAACAGTAAGCTCTTTAAATGTTCTGGCATTTTTTTTGCTGAAAATGAAGGTACTATAAAAAATGTTTTAGATGCAATTTGGTGAAAATTACTCCCTTTTCTAATAATTTTTCTTCTCCCATCTGGTTCCAAATCTGCTTCATTTTTACTCTGTCCATTGTGCAAGGTTTCTCTTGTAATCTGATGCTCTATTAGGCTGTCTATAACTCCTGTTTACACTCATTAATAATGGATAGGGATTGATGCATAACTGTATTTAACAAAACCATGATTCTGTGAAAACTGTCATGGAGTTTTAGGAACCTTAGGGCTAGCACAGAACTTAATTTCTCCTCTTTGGCTGGTTGGTTTTTTTGTGTGACCTAACTGTGGGTAGTTTTCTCCTAGCAGTCAAGAGTATATTTAGCTCTAGTACATAGTCTCAGCTCCAGACCAGCTTTTCAGCCACTTTAACTAAATTTTATTGCTAACCTTAGAAGCAGCTCGATAAATTCTGCTGTTTTCTGCTGAGGAATGTAGGTGCAATCACGCAATGAGTTTTTGCTGTGGTTTTTAATACACAAGGAAAAATGCTGACATAAAAAGATTTTTCTTCCTTCTTCTGTGTTCCTTCATTTCCCCATAATTTCTAAGTTAAATGGTAGAATTCTCAGAAAATGTATTCCCATACCTCTCATACAGATGCTTCAGGAAAGTACTAAATTAGAATAACTCCTCCTTGCTCTGTTAACCTCAAAAAACTCAAGGGACGTATGGGACCATCCATGTATGGTCAGGCTTTGGGCACAGTAGGAAATCCATAAAGTGAGTAAATCTAGAATTTGAAATCCTGGCTTTAAAGTTGTGAATTTAGTGCTCATCCATATGTGAACAAGACTAATCCTGTGGTTGCAAATTCCAGTAAGTTCTACCAATTTACAAATTTCTTCTTTAAAAATATTTTGTTTTTTAGAAAACACAGTAGCACATCAGGACAAGAGCTTCGTTATAATTCCTAGAATCCTAGAATGGTTTGGGTTAGAAGGGACCTTAAAGCCCATCCCAGTTCCAGGCCCTTCCACTAGAGCAGCTTGCTCCAAGCCCCTTTGTCCAACCTGGCCTTGAACACTGCCAGGGATGAGGCAGCCACAGCTTCTCTGGGCATCCTGTGCCAGCGGCTCACCACCCTCACAGGGAAGAGCTTCTTCCTTATGTCTAGATCTCCCCTCTTTCAGTTTAAAGTCATTTAAACTTGTCACTACCTGCCCCTGTACATGTTTGCTTTTTCCATTTCTAAATTGCTAAAACAAGATGTAGGGTTCCATTGCTGGTGGACAGGGCAGAGCTGAAGATTGCATTTGGCAGTTTCCTTGCTGTGTAATGAGGATCAGTAGTAATGGAGGAGGCTCATCACCAATCTTGGTGAATTCACACCTACCATGTACACCAGCTGAGTATCTTAGCAGTACCCGTCACCTCCATGAGTGTTGTGCTCTTACTGAGACATGTTAGTGTTCTTCATTCTTGCTAAGCTTTTAAAGGCATTGAATGTGTTGCCAAAGGAGGTGGAATGTCACGCTGACAACTTTCTTATTTTAATTGCTTCCAGATTAATATGTACTTAATGTAATAAAATTGGATTGGGCATAGGGGCCTATTTGAATTAGAATAATAATACAAAATTCATGCCAGTGTGGCGCTATGGGCTATTAGAAGAGAATTTCCCACACAGTGAACTTTGTGTAATAGACTTTTCTTTGGATTGTGACTATAAAGGCTGCTTTCACAACTGCAGTATTAGTATAAACATAATGGTGCTATGAACTGTATTTATTTATATGCACACATACACAAGTTCTGTAGTGTGAACTATAGGGTTCCCTGTTGTGAAATTCCCCTTCCTTAACAACTCCTTTTTTTCTGCATTTGCAGCTGAATAAGGTGTGTGTATTTTGGGAACTGTTGCTATAAATAGGATAAAATCATTGGAATGTGGCTTTAATTTTTTTCTGAGAAGTGTATTTTGGTAACATGATTGGTGCTTCTGTCAGTGCAGGAGAACAGAATACTGGTACTTAACTGTTGTTTTACTGTCTTACTTTTTTCTGATGTGTTTTGAGTGTGAGCTAAGGCCTGTGTCATAAATGTATTCAGCTTTTAGAGATTTTCAGTGCTGAAGCCAGGACCTGCAGTCTTTGGTGTATCTAATTCTATTTAGAATGAGTATCAGGAGTAAGGTAGAGAAAGACCTATGTAAATTAAATTGATGGGCATAAATGACATTTATATCTGCCGTTAGAGCTTGGAATTAATTTGAAGGGAAAGGATTTGTCCCCCTTGTTGCCCCACTGTATTTTTGAGAGTGAAAGTAAACTCAGTAGAGCATAGATACTGGAGCCCTGTAGGCCTTCAAGATACTTGAAAAATACGTTTTAGAAATAGAGCCTTTAAGAGCTGATACCTTTTATTCTCACAGCAGCAGACAACAGCTCAGTATAGTTCGTGTGCTCTGGGGGTGGGGATGGACTTGTGCAAATCCACAGACTTTTTGCAAGCTCAGCCAGGAGGAACTTAAAAGGGTGAAATAAAAAAGCACAGCGGATGTTATTAGAAATAGTTCTTGGGCAATGTGCTCCTCTCAGCGTTTAAGCAGCCACATTGTGCCCTTGAAGTGATATTACCTTTACCTATTGATCTTCTGGTGAGAGTGGTGTTTGTCTGTTCGATGATGCGGTTACTGCACCTTTGTGAGAGGTTTGGTTTTTGGAAGCTTTACTAAAGAAGTATTTTGCAGTTTCTATTTTGTATTGCTGCAGATCTGTGTCTGTGTTGCTGCTTCCCTCCAGACTTAGGGGACATTTATTTTTCCTCTTTCAGGAAATGGGTTTGTGAATTCTCGAGCTTCACCAAGTCTGCTCGGAACTAGTGGTGGCGGGAATGGCTTAGGCAAAGTCATGCCTACAAAGTCTCCTCCTCCACCTGGAGGAGGTAACCTTGGAATGAACAATCGCAAACCTGACCTCCGTGTCGTCATCCCACCCTCCAGCAAGGGTATGATGCCACCACTGGTAAGTTAAAGCGTTTGTTCTGTGAGTGCCTTTGTCAAAATGAAGTGTTCTACCCACCGTCTCATCTGCTTACCATAGGTTACAGGGATAGAAAGGTGTCTGTATTCTGAAATTTCACTAATGAAAAAAAAAAAAGTTATGTGTTGTTTCCTTGGGAAAAGTTAAATTTGTAAGGCATTTTTTATTTAAAGCGTAAAATAGTCTGACCAACCTAAATGGGGCCTGAATACACTCCTAGAGATGGGGATTTTGTTGGTTTGACTTGGCATCTCACTCAATTGGTACTGAGAACTTTGGTTTGGAGGGTGTGGGTTTTCAGAAAGGGTTATGTATTATTCTGTGGAGGAATGGCTGATCTCACTGGTGAAGTGAGCTGTATTAATGTGCCCTAAAGCACTCTTTGTACCTGTTTGTCCTCAGCCATAATGGTTGTGGGATATAAAATGTAGCTTCAGTGGTAATGACGGTGTGAGAGAAACTCTTGTTTGATGTGGTGTGCTGGAATGCAACCTTGTGTGTCCGTGGTGGATGCTATGTCTTCAATGCGGGCATAAAAGAGTAATGAGGATCAGCTTCAGTCCCTGTTTGTGTACTTTCCAATCCTACTGTGCAGTTTGGCATGTTGGTAGTCATGTTTGTTCAGCCTAGATTTAGAATAGCACACAAGTTTCGTGTTGGGCATGAGGCAACCACCACATTGAGACCAGAACAGGTCTTTCAGGAAGAGTTACTCTATTTTTCCTGTAATTTGGTTGGCCAGAGCCTTTGGTCTTAATCTTTCACTGTCACATAGAAATCTAAAACGTCTGTGTGCACGTTTTGTGTTTTCTCCAAATGGAGGAATGAACCCTGACCAAGAGGAGAGGATATAAACAATACAAGTACTCTCTGTGTAGTTCTTATTTGTTTTTATGATTCCACAAGTGCTTACATTTGTTACTGGTATTCATGATGAATAATACAAAATTAATCCATGTAACAAAAGCTGTAATTATGTGCAGAGTAATGATTCCTGAAGTTTCAGGTTTTTCTAGGAATGCTGAAGTGCAGAAGAGCTCGGAAATACTCTGGTTATTAAAGTGAAAATTACACTTTTAAATTAATTAGAAATAGATACAAGAAGAGGATCTTGTTAATGCTGCTGTTCTAACGTCAGTAGTCCACAGTACCTCTTCACTGTTGTGTTGTTAACAACAACATAATATCCAGTATCGATTTTGCCTGTCTTTTGATGGGATTTGGAAAGAGGTTTCAGAGTAGAGGTGCTGGGATGGTTGTATGTAAAAAATACGTAGTTACTGAGTTGAATCATTATTGGCTCAGTCCTGCCAGAGCTGATGTGCTCCACATCCACATGTTATCAGTGTGTAGCTGTGTCCTTGTTTTTGCTGAGCTCTTTCTGCACTCTTTCAGTATGGTATTTTTTAATTGACCCAAACTACATGAAGTATCGTAACTTCCTAGTAGTATTACTCACAGAATCAGCTGGCAAATTCACATTATGAATTAAAATGAGTAAAAATCCTGAAGCACAAACATGACTTTTTGTTTCATTTTTGAAAGCAATGCTATTTTAGTAACTGTGTTATCCCTCTTGTTTGCTGAGTACAGTCGGAGGAGGATGAATTGGAGTTGGTGAGTTTGGGCTACTGTTTGATGAGAGCGAGCAAGATGCTGTGAAAACGCCTTTTACTACAGCTCTCTAACTGTAGTTTCATTACATATCTCAAATAATTCCAGTGTTCCCTTGGTAGCAGACAAAAATACATTTGTTTTATCAGACTCAAATCCCAACCAATTCAAGTTGAAAACAGATCCAAAGCCTGGTGCTTTCCATTTGAAAAGTTCTGGGTTGTTTTTTTTTCTCCTGAAAATGCTTCTGTTTTTCTTGGAGGGAACATTGGAAAAGAGCCTTTCAGAGTAACTGTCCATGTGGATAGGATATTTACTGTCCTTTGTGTCAAATACAAATAACCACTCATCACCCCCGAAATTACTGGCATATTTTTAGATCGTGGCTTCACTCCTGAAGTGGTTCAGATTGTAACACAAGCCCTGTGTTACTTCTCTTATTTTCAAGGAGATTACATCATTGCTGGTGAGGTCACCTTCTTGGAGCTCAGAATTATTTCATCCTGCGTGAGATTATCAAACCACAGGGGTGTTCCCTGTTTACCAAAAGGAATCGAGAATCACAAGTGAATAATCCTACTTTTTTTTTTTTCCAGTGGAAAGCTATTCTGCTTTGGAAAGGAAGCTCTCGGGATTTGTCTGTTTTCTATATTTTCCCAAAAGGTTTTAACATTTGGCATTCCGTTTGGAAAACAGCCGTAAGGCTACAATCACTCTGAACTTATTTTTAGAGCAATTTTCAAATTGTTTAGCTGCTGTAGCACAGACCGTGCAGAAGATGGTGCAGCTGTGGAGATACACAGTCTGCCTAGTGCATACCTTGATTTGTTTCCGAACATGGACCTGTTGCTAATACGAGGCTCTAATTGCATGAAAGCATGGAAAACGTAGTGATTTAGATCAATTTCTTGATGAATGCATGCTGTTGGTTGATTTGTTTTACCTTAAACATGAGCAATGGATTTACTAAAGCAAAGGGAAATGAGTTTTCAGAGTCAGTATTGAAGTTTTTAAGGTTTATTGGGATGATTTGCTAATTGAGCAGTTGAACAGCTGCCACACACGTTCTTCCCGCCTTCATAGAGAAGTGTCTGGTTTCCAGTGCAAGACATAAAGCTCTAATTCAATGTAAAATCACTTAATCAAAGTATCACTGCAATTGGAGTTAATGAGAAAGCCCTTGAATTAAGGTATTTGTACCTGCTAAAAGCTGCTGTGCTCTTCGCAGCATTAAAGATTGGGCGAGTTGGTTTATGGCTCCTGTGTGGAGTGTGGTCCCTCTAGTGGTGTTACAAACTGGGCTCAGCTCTTAGGGGAAGAAGGCTCACACAAAGAAAATGCACTTGTGTCTTCCTCAGACGTGGTAGAGAAATAGGAAGTACACCTGCAGAGTTATGTCTCTTATCCCTCTAATTTGAGATGCTGATCCAGTGCTGGGAAGCGATTCCAAATCACGTCTGTGAACGCTCACTCCGTGGGGTTGGAATTGAGTCCTGAATATGAAAACCAGATCTGAACAGTAGCATGGCATGAAATAAAGATGCTGAATTCCCCCCTGCCATCATTTGCACCAGGTTAAAAAGGAATTTAAAATATTCCAGAGATTTGGTATGGATCTTTGGTTGAGTCTGGTACAACCAATACCAGACACATCCAAGTATTCCTTAGTGCCTTTGTATGGCTGAGTGTTCAAGGCTTATATTCAGAAATAAATTACCTCAGAAACCCACCTTTATTAGCCACTCAAAAAGAGAAAATCCCATGGGGAAATCCTTTGGTCTGGATCGTTTCCCAGTATACTCCTCTTAACTTTTCCATTATGCAGTAATCCCAACTTTATAGGCCGCCATCCAAGAAAGCTTTGGAAAAAGGTCAATTCCTGGCAGACACAAAAAATCTGCTCTAATAACATATCTTTATGCCAGATAAACTTGGTGTAGGGGAGATTTTCAGAAGTACATAAGTGATTTAAAGGGATAAATTACACAGAAAATCAGTGGGATTGATTTTTTTTGTCAGCCAGACAAAAAGGGGATGAGAACGTGGTAGCCAGTGGAAAGCATGTGGCTGGTTTTAATATGGTAGCTGTGGTATATGGTTTTTCCTTTAAATTGGAAAGACAGAAGCCAAGGGTTGATAATCCTCCATTCATTTTCACAACTTTAAGCTTAAAGCTGAATACAGCCCTGTTTGTGTACCTGCTCGTTCTATTATTACAAAGGCAATCATGCATTTTTAATACTGATCGCTTGCTCAGGATCACAGTGGAGACAAAAATCGAGTGCTGCAGCTCCTGAAATACTTGTTTATCTTTCCAAGACAAGGAAAAAGCAGTAATAGCTTCAGTCATTTAAAGGCAGGAAATGGCACCCTCCCAGAGAGATGCAAAATTGCTGCTTTTGTAGCAGATATTTTCTCAGAGAGAGGGCCTTGCTGTAAATCTGTGTTTTCAGCAGTTTGAAATCCAGCTCCTTCAATTGGGAATGGTTCTGTAAGAATACAGAAGCACGGGGTGCAGAGACTTCTGATACTGCTCAGGCAGGCTTCAGCAGGTAAAAGTGAGCATCTGATGTTTAAAAATAACAATAGAAGAATGCAGCGTTTCCTGCTCCTGACAGCATCTGGCACAGCAGGATGGTGCTGAGCTGCACACTGTGAAGGACCGTGTACAGGTGCTGCCATGAGGAGTCGTACGTTCTGTGACAGAGCAGCTTTGCTGCCTGGTGATATTCCCACCGTGATTAGTGCAAGGTTTTCCAAACAGCAGATTTGGTTAAAGAGCTCAATTTGAGCGAGCAGATGTTCATTGCAGTGTATGGGAAGGGCAGGCTGTTATTAAGTAGCCGGCTCGTGCCCACAGTCAGATAATGCAGTGTAGATGGTTTTCCTGTCAAAAAGCATGGCTGCTCCGTGTGAACTCCAGTGTCATTTGCCTTGCAACAAACCTGCATTACAGCCACTCCTCTCTCAGTTTCTCGGGAACCATGGGAACAGCGAGATCAGTTTATCACTGAAGCCTTATCCACACAAATGTCCACCCCTGCGTTCCTCCAGGACAGGTGTAGTCAGTGTTCAAACCAGCAGCTAAAACAGTGACATTTGGGTACACACCTGGGAAGTGGGAGACTTCTCTGGTGGAACTGCCCCCACCATCTGCACCCAAACCTCTTTGAGTCAAAACTCTTAAATCACTTAAGAGCTTCTGAGAATTGCTGGGTATGTCCCTAAGAAACTGCATTTGGTTCTGTGTCCCCCAGCTCTAACACTGCTGCCATCTGCATGCCCGGGAAGCAGACCACTGAGTCTGCATTAATCTGTCGTTTCGGTTTGCCAAGATCGTTTTGGTTGTCTTGAATGCTTTGGCTTGGTTAGAAAATCTACCCTGATGTATTCATAACTGAAAAATAAAGCAAAGAAACAGGTTTTAATTGGATGCTGTTTTTGTGGTAGCACTTGATTTTCCATTGTTCCTGCTGATATCACAAGATGTTGTTATTTTTAATCATTTATAGAATACCCAAAGGATAAGTAGTTCTCAGTCTACACAGCCTCTTGCTACCCCTGTGGTGTCCGTGACAACTCCAAGCTTGCCTCCGCAGGGACTGGTGTACTCGGCCATGCCTACTGCCTACAACACTGGTAAGCTTGTTTTTATGAAGTGGCTTCATTTGTCAAATGTACAAGGCTTTTGTGATTCATAAGCCCTGAAAATTTGCATTTCTGTGACACTTTATTTTCCTCTTCAGTGCAAATGAAGGCTCTTATTCATCACAAATGAGCCTTTAGGTTGTAAAATGTGTAAATGTTGAGACTCAAATCAGGAAGAAGCTTTCAGTCAGGTGGCAGAGAGACAGACACAATGCAGTGCATTGATTGCGGCAGCAGTGCTCAAGCTGTCCATCTGGGAACAGAAGGGCCTCACATTTAAGCAGTTGTTGATACTTCAGGGTGTACCGTCCCTCTCATTCTGCTTTGCTTGGTTCCAAGAGCAGGAGGGAATCGGGCTCTATTGGGGCTTTCAGTTAACAAAAGAGCCCAGACAGGGCCTTGTCCTCTTTAGTAGCTGTGTCAGGAGTGTGGTGGGCACTCATGGGAAGGCAGTGTCAGCATTTCACCATTGCTGCCATCTCAGCTGAAGAACCTTAAAACTACTTCTTACCCCAGAAGGGTGAGATGTGAGGAATCCGGTGATGTCGGTGGTAATTGGTTTGCAGTTTGCAGAGTAAGTCATGATGCCGTGCCTCCTATTTGGTCTCCGTACCAACAGAGATAGTTTTGACTTCAGCCTCAAGGTTATTTATTTGTTATAGACCCCATGTGCAATGATGGCACTGTATTTAGGAACAGGGTCTGGTCTGTTGTCAGTGACCATGTTCTTACTCCTGTGCTAAGGTCAGGACAACACCAAAAAACCCTTCAAGGTTTGTAACGAATGGCCAAACCCTCGGTAATCTTTGTTTTCGGCAGGGAGGGCTGGCAGCAGGGGTCTGTAGTGTTGGAACACAGAGCAGCCTGCATTTGTAATGATTTCTCCCCCCAAATGATGGGATTTTATACATTTTCTCCACTTCTTTAGTTCAGACTTGTAGCCGCCTCCCAGCCAAACAACTCCCTTCTTCTTCTGTATCTTTTTATATTGATGTGCTCACTGAGGTTTGTTATCCATGAGCTGCTCTTGGCATTTTCCTGCCTCAGATGTGCAGCCGGCACCTACTGCCCTGTGTGGGTTTGGGTTTAGAGAGGAGCAGCAGCAGTAAAGAGTTACCCTGTGGTAGCACCCCTCTGCATGGCTGAACATTTGTGCGAACAGTCACTACCCTGAAAGGGGGTGAAGTCTGAGGAGAGGAATGAAGGAGAAGACGGGGTTGCAATAATGGCACAGTGAGGAATTGTGCTTGGTGAATTGTTTTGGAGTATAAGGATGAAGTTGCTGGGCAGAGAGATCTTGGTTCGATGCTTGCCACAAAGGTTGTTTAGAGATTGTGTTTAATGGCTGTTTAAAGTGAACAAATAGTTCTGAAGTCCCCTGTTGAGGTTTACCTGTCACCTAGCAAATCCCTTTACTTTCTGGCACAGTCTGGCCTTGTTTCAGGACACAGTGCTGTGTGTGCTCCTCACCCAGAACAGCCTGGAAGCTGATGGCTAAACCAGGCTAAAACACCAAGATGAGAGGCAGAGGCTGCAGGCTGAACCTTGGGAAGCAGCAAACCCAATGAAAACTGGTGTCCTACACAATGTAGAAGTGCCGCTATGGCTGGGATGTGACTGTAAAAAGCAGCCCATTTCCTTTGATAATGCACTAATTTGTGCAAAGCTTTTTTAGCTCTGAGACACTTTAAAATTGTTTTTATTAGATTGAGCCTTTCAGGGGATTTGCAAACAGAAATCTGATGTTGAAACCAAATTGTCATCTGGGTGTTCTCAGGGTAGTCACCACCTGGCAGCAATCTCAGTTCTGCAGTTCAAGGACTAAGGTAAAATTGGGATACCTCCGCTGTTTTTCTGGATCGATAGGGTTTGGTCTCTCCCAGGGCTGGCAGGGATTGGTTCAGCTTTTGCCTCTGTAATTAAAATGCTGGATATGAGTTTTGCTATTTTATATAAGTTGTTTTGCTTGGGGAAGTATTCTTTATACCGATTGCTGGAGAAAGAGCCAGAACAAACTGAGTTACTTGTTCTGAAACAGCCTGGGCGTTTCTGAGAAGTATCCAAACCCCACAGAAGACAGTTAAACAGTAACTTACACTTGAGCAGTGTATCTGGCCATAAATCATCTTGCTGGCTGTAGGTCAGTTATTTTGCAAGGCACAAACGTCAAAGGTACGGTGTAGCTGGAAATGGCAGCAGCAGGTTCCACCATGTGGAAGCACTGCTCTGTCTGTACTTCTCCATCTTGCCTCAAGTCACTCGTGTAGGAATTGGTGTCCTGCTTTATGGATTATATCTGATTATTTATGGAAATGAGAGCTGTGTAGTGGCCTAGGTATGCTTTGGAAAACATCTCCTCCACCCCCTGCCGTAAGACAGTGTCTAAAGCACCAGAAGTTAATTGTTATCATAAAAGCTCTAATTGCAAACTAAAAACCACACGGAAACAGAAGTCCCATAAACACTTTCTCCAGGTCTGCTCCTACAGAATCCCAGTGGCACAGAACAGCGCATCCATCACCTCCACACCCGCAGGTTGTCACTGGTCTGGCTGCGTGGAAGGTCGAGTGCGTGTCCTGGGCACTGGAGGGCTGTATTTGATTTATGTTAGTTCTAGTTCTTATTCCAGTCCTGCAGAAGAGCTTCAGGTCAGTCAGCTCGGGGGAGAACCTTTATGAGTCTGCAGGTTTGTCAGGGCTCCAATCAAAATGTCAACGGAGAAGGAATGAAACCGAACGGCAGCTGAAGCAGCTTCACCTGCCGGGGCAGCCAGGAGCTCCGGGGCCTTGTGGAAGGGTCTTGTGGTGATTCATATCCATCGCTGCAGGGCACAGCAAGTACCTGCGGGCTTGGAGGTCTCCCTCTCCTCCAGGCTGTTAAAAGGGAAACCTCAAAGTCATCCAATGGGGGTGTCATTTTATGACAGTACTAACACCCCCCCCCCCCCCCCAGACAAACCCCAACCACAAACCACAGCACAAAGCACTCCTGCTGAGGTAGAATATGGGTTCCTCTGCGGGCAGGAGGAGTGCATTTGGCTGTGAGCAGTTTGTTGTGTTCTCAAGAGACCAGAAATTATTGTAAGGAAGCTTTATTAGAAGATAATTACAAGCAGAGAAGTGTTTGTGGCTTTGTTTTAAAACCTGAAAATGATAGCGAGAAAATAACTTCACCTCTGGATGAAGCGAGAGCTGTCAGAGCGTTCCAGCCTCACCAGGACTGACAGCCAGTCCGGGACTGTTGACAGGGATCTGCTGGATTTTCTGTTACCCGTTTCAGTTGTATTTCTAAGTAATGGTACTTTTGGCTCTGAATAAAGAGGCTTTTGGAGATACGGAGATGACAGTTTCATCAGACATAGCGTAAGGAGTGGAGCTATTGTAGGGAGAGGCAGGATGTGATGGGAGCAGCCCATGCTGTTCCACTACTGGGTTTGGATTTAGGTTTGGGACTATGAGCTGCACGGAAACATGACCCAGCCAAATGGTATTGGTTTGACTAACACTGCCTCCCACCTGGGAACTCAGCCGGAACTGGGGTGTCTCTAGTAAACACTGACCCTTTCCAACGGCACGTACAGATTATTCCCTTTTGTTTCACTTTGAGATGTCTGCAGTCCAAAATCTTCAAAAATGCAAATACTTTTATTACTGTAAGGTACATATATATTATTATATATATATAAAATGTGTGAATACACTGTATGTGTGGGTTTAGAAGCAGCTGTATGAGACAGCAGCGTGTAGAAATTGACAGCATAATGCAAACAAATGTCGTTTGTAGGCTCATGTCCTGTTAAGCTCTTTGGGAAGTCAGACTGCTCCCAGAGTTCAAAGCTTTCGTGTCTGGGCTCCTTTGTGTCACTTGCCTTTATTTGTTTTAGGTAGAAGACCTTTATATGTATGTGTGTGTGTGTCTCATATATTCTCATGTATTTGTATATATATAAAATAATCTATAAACTACTTTCTTGTTCTTTTGCTTTCCCCTCTCAGATTACTCCTTGACTAGCGCAGACCTGTCTGCCTTGCAGGGATTTAATTCCCCAGGGATGCTGTCCCTCGGGCAGGTTTCAGCCTGGCAGCAGCACCACCTCGGTCCAGCAGCCCTCAGCTCTCTCGTGTAAGTACACTCAGTGTTGTAAGTACACCCAAGAACACTGGTGCCACAGGCTACAGCCGGGCAGGAACTTCGGCTGCTTCAAGCCTAATACTGTGCACCAGGGAATACGTAGCACAAGAGCAGTTCAATTTTGTGTCTGCTGGTGACGGTGCATTGCCTTTCAGGTTTGCTCCTCAGCTGCAAAGCACTCGTGTTCCGTGGTGCTTGTTCCATTCTCCCACAGACAGGCTGTGTTCTGGCAGCTCCTTACACGGGAGTCACCTGCGTGATGAACTTAAATGTTTGGAATTAGGAATTAATGCTTTTTCCAGCTTTATTTCTTCACTTCAGTCAGTTGCATTTACTGATGTGCTCATTTTGAGGGTGTTGAACCGCAGGACCGCACATCACACAGGCACATCGCTGTCACCTTCTTTTCCTATGTCGTGTTTTCTCATCTCTGCCTTTCGGTTCTCTTCCCCCCAGTACTGGCAGCCAGCTATCTCAGGGTTCAAACCTATCCATTAACACCAACCAAAACATCAACATCAAATCTGAACCAATTTCACCTCCCCGGGACCGTGTGACTCCCTCCGGGTTCCCGCAGCAGCAGCCGCAGCCTCCGCAGCAGCAGCAGCCGCCGCCGCCGCCACCGTCGCGGCAGGAGATGGGCCGCTCTCCCGTCGACAGCCTGAGCAGCTCGAGCAGCTCCTACGACGGCAGCGACCGGGAGGACCCGCGCAGCGACTTCCACTCGCCGGTCGTGCTGGGGCGGCCACCGAACGCGGAGGATCGGGAGAGCCCATCGGTAAAGCGGATGAGGATGGACACGTGGGTGACATAAACGTGCGGCGCGGCCTCCTCAGTTTTGTGTTCTCAAAGTGAACTGTCCTGACATATCTAAATTTATAAATAAGGACATGAAATAAGCGTATTTATATGTATATACATACATGCATATATATATCTCCACATGCATATATATGTGCTAGTGTGTGTAGCATACACAAAATCATCAGGCACTTACAAACTTCTTGCGTAGCGGCAGATGTCCCCGGTCAAACGTAACCGAACAATCCCGTAGGTAGTGATGGCGCCCGGCACGTACCTGGACTCGTTGTTCTCATCCTATAACCTGTTTTGCAGCGAAGCGTTGTACCCGCCTTGTAGCCCTGCCACACTAGATTGCAGAAACCAAGAGGGCTCGCCTGTAGTAACGTCCCTGTGTGTGTTATTCAAGCTGTATGGTTACTCGTAGTTAAGAAATAATGCTTTGTAGCAGCAGAGCAGTAGAAAAGCAGGAAGAAGAAAGCAATACTGTACATAAAATGACCTTTCTATTACCCCGCCGGCATGGGTCTCTATTGCAGAGGGTGCATGGAGAAGGGCTGATGCTATAACGAAATAAACCACAGAAAAACCCTGTTTTGCACGTGCAAAAAAACCCCTAGTGTATTGGGTCAAAGAAGTGATTTTTTTAATGAGTGCAAGAGAGACATAGAGAACGCGCATGAAATATTCAGAAAATATTAGCCTAGGAAATAGAACCTTAACAAAAGAAAATTAATATATTAAGTTATAATTGGGAGAGGTTTGACAAATTTGTTTTTACGTTCCTACCTTTGAAAAATATAGAAACGGATTTTAGCTCATGTATATTTTATATTAAAGAAAACAATACCCTAACGAATCGAAGACTATATATAAAGTTATATACAGTACTTTTGAACACATTCTGCTATGAATTATTTATATAAGCCAAAGCTGTACGTTGTAGCTTTTTTGTAGAGTATAGTTTTATCTTATTTTGACTTTCTAGTTTTTGCTTTCAAAGATGAAAAGGAAAAACTTGCAGGCGGAACCTTGGGGGAAAAATAAGCCATGAACACTTCTATGTACATTGAAATTTGAGCCAAACTCTTTGTGTATATAGCATCCTAAATATATGATCACCTTCGGTGTAAGTACCTGCGTATTGTACGTTCACCAGATTAAAAAGTATATTTTTGTGGATTGACGCCGACTTGAAGAAGGGCGAGGTCCTTATTAAGTAGAGTATTCACTGTTTAATATTTACTATTTTGTTAAATATACTGTACTTTCTTTGGATTTTAATTATTATTAATATTATTATCCAGATTTTTCAGAGGGTGTATAAAGGGGTCGTCCCCCTCACTGGTGGTGAATGTGTGCCGTTCAGTTGTAATCTCTGTGCTGTATGGTTAAGCTTCATTATACATTTTATATATATGTATATAAATAGCAAAGTGGCAAAAAAAAAACCAACCCAACCAACCCGGTGTTAAGTTCATCCTGCATAAATAGAAAAAAATCTGTTACGACACATTTTAAGGCATCATTTTGGAGCTGCCTCTTCTGAGGAGTTAAAAAACCAAACCAACAGTGGAAAAAGCTTGACCTAATTTCTCATGGTAGGGAAATGGCACGAATCAGGTGAGCACAAAAGGTTCTTTAAGTTGGTAAATGGCTTGGGATAAGGCTTCAGCCTCGGGAATAAGCCCGCCGCTTCCCTGAGTGGGAAGGAGTCACCCAGAGCCTGCTGTGGCACCAGTGGAGGAGGTTGGGGTTTGCCTTTGGATTGGGTTTGCACAGCGCAAGGGCAGTGGTGTCTCCCCGTGTCACTTGGTGCCCACTGGAGGGGCCCCAGCCAGGCTGGTGCTGCAGGTTCCCTCCTGGGTACCAGAACCGAAGAGCACCAGCCTGTGCCGGGCTGGGGAAACAGGGTCCCTTTCCCAGTCCTGGCTGCAGGTCTCCTCTCTGCACCTTCCTGCCCATGGTAGTTCTAGTTCTGGGGAGACCCCGACCTCTCCCGTTACCCAAACTCTGACGTTATCCCCGATATTGGTGAAGTTTTCCAATTTTTCCTTGGGCTTTAATTTTTGTAATTGAAACAATCACCTGATGCTGTAACTAAACAGACCCCCCCCGGCCCCCGAGGGGTGCAGCCCCAGTGCTTTGCTCCCCTCAGCTGCTGAAGCAGCCGGTTGGAACAGCTCTTGGTAGTGTAAAACACGGACCGGGTTCTGTTCCTTTCAGCCCCTTACCTTGGAAGTGGGTCTCTGCTGACCACAGTAAGTTCCAGGTTTAGAGAAGCTGCTCCAAAGCAGCCCCTTTCCTCCTCACTTACCACCTTTAAGAACCTTTCAGTGCTCGGGCCCGTCCCGTGGTGGTTCATTATTTATGCACATGTATGGACTTTGCTGTACATCCGAGTGGGAGTTCTGCATTCACATTTACTGTCTATTTTCTTGTGTGCCTTATCAGATGGCTTTGCTGACTGTATCTCAATAGTCTTTATTTCTATGCAGGTTTTTAAACAGTACTAGTACTGTTCTCTTAAAGAAAAAAGCTACGTAAGGGTTAGAGTTTGTATTAAAATTGCACCAATGAGTTACAAAATATAATAATGATGATGATGATGATGATAATCTGTTCCTAAGACGGGCGCAGGGGCCTGGTCACATGGTGCCCCGGCCTCCAGCAGACCAAGTCTTTCCCCAGCCTCCCGGGGCAGGAGAATCTCGCGCCATGGAATCAATGGGAATCCTGATTTTTAGTAACAGGGAACTTCACTTTTTTAGGAATTGTAAAAATGTTTTATAAGAAAACAAAAAAAAAAAAGGGAAATGTCAGAGCACAGGGATTTCAACAGGTAAAAACCTCCTTTTTTCAATTAACTCTACTGACTGAAGTTGCAAGTGGAGCCGCTCCTCGCCTGAGCCCCGTGTAAGGTTTGTATCTGGTGTGAGCGTCGCCTCCATCGCCGAGCTCACACCGCGGTGTTTAACACCCGCTTTAGCCTTTCCTTCCACGTAAAGGACACTACCGCATCCGAACCTTGGAATTACTGTGCGCACAAGAAATACATAGTAAATAAGGAACAAAATAACTCCTAACAATCGATCCTGGGAAGAAGTTGAATTAGAATGTGAAAGAAAGACTTAACAAATGTAAACGTTTAAATCTTAGTAGAAACTTTCTTCACTTTGCTGTGCAAGAGAACACTGCTTTGCTATATTTAAAATGGCTTTTTTAAAAGAGATTTATGTATTTGGTAAATGTTTGTAGTCAACAGTTCACAAAGAAGCTGTTCACGGTTTAATGCTGATAAGCCGTTTGGCGGCACAAGCTGGACTTTGTTGCCATCCTTGAGACGAATCTTTTAAGAAAAACAAATAAGTTAATCTCAATTTTTTTCCCTGAATGTGTTGTTTTTTCTTCAATATACAATAAATATTCTAGTGAACTTTTTATCAAATGGTTAAGAAAATGCTAGAGGTTGTTGTAAAATATTTGTATCCTGCATTCACTGAAGTAAAGATACTGGCTTTTACTGTGTACTCCAGCCTCTCTCGTGTTTCAGAGCACGCGTTCCCTTTGCCCCTCTCTGTTAGTGCATGCCTGTTACCAACCAGCTCTCCAAGAACCTGAAAACAGAACGCTATTGAAATTGGTGGTAAACCTGCAGGTGAGAGGGTCCCTTACCTGCTCCAGGTGTGTTCCGTAGGCAGTGCTGCTCCATTCCAGTCCCTGCAGGACACAGTAAGGCATTTGGAATCCTTGGCCTTAGTGCAGCTCCGTGAGCCCCATTGGCAGAAAGCAGTGTCTGACCTTGTGTCCGGTGGGGACGCTGTGTGCAGCACCCGACCTTCAGAGGACACAGTTTAGCTCTGTCCAGTTCTGTCACCACAAAAAAGGCCCGAGCCATGGGGTGCCCCTGTGTGCTTTATTTGAAAACATCCCAGTTCCCCCCTCAAACAGATACAGCTCCTTCACAGAAGAAAAACACAAGTTCAGTATAAGGTACTTTGGAATCCTCCATTACAAAATCAGGTTCCCGCAGGGTTTCCTGAGCACCTGTATGGAGGGCTGCAGGAAACACAGGTTTTCACTGTAACAGCACACCGTGCTTCCTGCCTCACTCCCATCCCACGCTCCTGCAGGTGCTTCCTTGGGCCCTGCCCTCGCCCCAGCCCAGCGAGCCTCAGCTCCGCACCGCGCAGCCTGGGCACTGGGAAGGATCCTGCACTTCTCTGCAGAGCAGCCCAAAGAGGGGCTGGAGCCCTGCTGAGCCCTCGCCTCACCCCGGGCAGGTGTCACACACTGTGCTGCAAAGCACCTTCGAGTCTGTTCTAGGAGAGCGTTTACCTGCAGTCATGGGCCCTGAATTTGCTGAATTCAATTTCTGAGGCAAAGCTCCCCAAAGGCTCCTTTCCTGCTCTCTGCCATGTAGTGTTTACTGACCTTGGGGCTGCCAATGCCTTGGGACCCCACAAACCTCTGCAGCTTCAGTGGGCACTCCCATGAATTCCAAAGCCTGTGAACACCAATGTCAGCAGCTCACACAAACCTTTATCACCCAGCAGCTCCACAGTCCACAGCCTGTAAAGGATTTGCACATCTTCCTGCCACGAAGGTAATGCAAGGCTGCAGTCCTGGACCTTGCAGATCAAACGCAACTCTCCCTACCACAACCAAGGAAACTCAAACCCAGCACTGACACCAGGTGTTTGCTTGTTAGAGATGCACCATTATAGATTATTATTAAAAATATAATACTGGCTAAACACAGCCCCCTCACCCAAAACAACGAGCCTTTGAGAAGTGTGTACTACATACATACCCCAGGCCTAACGCTGCTTCTCTTCCTCCTCTACTCTGGCTATCTGCAGTCCTGCAGGTGTGTTGGCTCTGGCTGAGTCACTGGACTGCAAGAAATGCCTCTGAAGGAGTTTACCGATGGGCAGAGGTGGCCTCAAAGGCATGGAAAGGTGAGGTGCTGGTGGCAGCCTTGTGCCACTGCACACCTCGAGTAATGCACTGGAGGACAATGGTTTAGAGTCAAGTACACCAAAGCTACCATGGGCTGCAAGAGCTAAAACTGACGGTTCAGAGGAAGAGTTGAATCCCCATTAATACTTGAGGCAATAAGGGGGTTTTCGTAAAATGCAAACAACCCCCAACATTCCGACAGCATTAATACTGAACTCTATCCAGCAGCAAAGGAGTCGCTGCTTGGACAAGGCATTAGGAAATACCTGAAGCAACCACTATGAGTAGATTGCTACAAAATACTTTTCCCTTGATAGAGCTCATGGATGCTAAGCCAGCTGCCTGATGATCCTTACCAGCAACAAAGCATCCTGATTGTTCCATAAGCAGCACATTGCTGCACTTCAGTCAAGTTCAGGCTCACAACACCAGCTACTTAACAAAAATAGAAATCATCTGTGTTGTTACCCCTCACTGTGCTCAAGTCTGTCTCTGCACTCGTGCTGCAGCGCTGGGTGAGAGGCTGCAGGCAGCTGCCTCTCCCCTTTAGGATTTTTTATCTACAACTGAGCTCTGTGGTAATTTCCCTTCCAATCCATCTGCTGAAGCGTTTGAGGTTAGTGTTGTGTTGGAGGTATGGGCCACCAGGCCTTGTGTTTTAAAATAGATGATATAAAATACCGGCAGGACAATTCCTATCAGGAGCATAATGAAAACTGCATTCCACCACTGGATCCCACAGTCCGCTCCATTGTTGGTCTCCTGCTTCCCTGCTTCAGGCAGCGGCCGCTCCAGTGCCTCCGGGCAGTACTCGGTGTTCAGCTGGACCTCGGCCTGCACAGCGTCCTGAATGCTCTTGTCAATCCCCTTGAAGTAGTCGCTGAGGTGTCTGCTCTCAGCACTGCTGCTCACACCCCCATCAGGCTCCCCTAAGTCCACAAGTGTCAGGCCGGGCTGTGTGGGCACGCTCGGGACTGGCCTCAGGTCTCCGCCGTTCTCCGTTAGCAGCCCATGGCTCTTCACAGGGATCTTGATGGACTTCAGAGCATACAAGTCCTGCTCCCGGATGAAGTTGTTGACACGTTTGATATCTGCAACCTACAGAACCCAAAAAGGACACGGATGTTAATGTAGGACATCCCAGACTGAAGGACACGGATGTTAATGTAGGACATCCCAGACTGAAGGACATGGATGTTGATGTAGGACATCCCAGACTGAAACAGGAAGTGTGCAAGCAGCTGTCAGAAATAAAAGCAAGCCCTGGCTGCAAGTGGCTTTGTGCTCTGCAGATATCCCAGCTGCTCTGGGGATGTTCCAGGTCCTGCAGGACAGAGACTGGCCCATGTCATCAACCAGTCTTTAACCTCCTGTCATGCTTTTCTATCTCTCATGGGTTGTACGCTGCTTAATACTTAATGGTTTTCCTTCCTTTAGCTTTCTTTACTGTTCTCTCGCTTTCTAATCCAGGTTAAGGCAAGAAGAGTCTTCATAACAGATCCTCAGTTTTCATACCTTAAACAATGCCTGCTTCAGGTGAGGACAACATCAGTACATGCAGGCAAAACCCTCCCCCTGCTCAGAAAGTGATTTCGGAGTGAACAGAGCCCTGTCTCCAGAACACACCAAGGTCTGATTGCGAGATCACCACCTGGAAGAGAGCTGTCGCGCACCCCTGCCACAAACACAAGCATCCTCTGCTCATGTCCCCAGGCACTGTCCCTTTCCTGCACACTAGCAGCTCACATGGCTCATTTCTCCACCGCTGGTAAAAGCTCCCACTGAAGGTACACTTAAAGCAATAATCTCCATGTGTCTGTGATCATCTCTGGAGTGTGTGTAGTTCCCAGCTCTGACTGGTATTCCCACCCAGCTCATGATGCAAACAGCAGTAAGAGCAAGAAAGACCAAACCATAAGTACAGCTTAAGTCACAAGGGCAGCTGGTATCAAGGAAAAGACAAACCCATGCTTCTTTGTTTAATGTTACATAAAGAGAGAACAGCTTAATACAGTGTCCACTCACAACCACCTGGTAAGTACATGAACTTCTCAACTGCCCTAAATCCTCTGTCAAAGAAAATGTGTGGAAGGAGCTCTCCAAAGCAGCCGTGGAGATATGAAAGAACCTTGAGGGTAAAACATAGGATGCAAACCAAAGAGCAAGACCTCAAAGCAAAGAGAAAGGTGACACAAAGGGGCTGAACCACTTCTGATGTACCACAGAAAAGACACAGTCTGCATGTCTGGATAAAGTTGGATCTGTTCTGTTACAAGTGTAGTAAATGATGTATGCACCGCATGCTCTGCACCCTCACAAGTCTGAGGCTACCAGTGAAACTGGGGAACTAAAACCAAGAAAGTGCTTTACTTCCTAAGCAAATGTGTGACTGCCACCAGCACCAAAATCATCACAGTTGAGGGCAAAGATGCAGGAGGTGCCAAGAGGAAGGCAGCCCCCCTTTTCCCCTCTCCCCTGCAGGGTGGCCCCACAGGTTGGAGGCTGAGCACCAACCACAGGAGAGAGGAGCTGCAGCCTCTCTGCCTGCAGAGCTGCTGCTACCCGTGGAACTCCCCTCCAGCTCATATGGGTTATCAGGGAACCACACACCAAGCTCATCACCAGCAATCCCTGGAAGGTGTCAAGTCTGCCATGTCACAGCCAGAGAGAGCAAGACTGCTGAAAGTGAGAGATGAGATGAACGCCTGAGTCTCACATTTACTCTGCAAAGCTTGAGGAATCTGAAAACGGGAAATTTAATCTAGGTCCTAATCTGGTGCCCCCGAGGCTGCCTATTCAGACCCTTCACAGCTTGCTCCAGCATAACATCTGGACTTAAACCCTGTAACATTATTTAGTTATGAAATAACAATCTCACCCAAAGCCTCCTAACTAAGGTGGTGCTTCAATTGCTGGTTTAGTTCCAATGAAAACATTATTGGGACAGTAAATACCTCCTGCAGGGTCTGCAGTCAAACACTGCCATGTTGTGCTAAGGCTCTGGTAACAGAAAGAGGAGCAGCACTTGTGCAGAAACAACAAACAAAGCTGAGGGGAGGCATGCAAGAGCACTCGCCATTTAGGCTTATTTTCTGTACTTGCTTTTTGGCTGCAGCCAGCTCCTCTTGTCCCAGCTCAGAACAATGCCAAAAGCCAGGCAGGGCTATAAATGGTCAAGAGTAAAAATGAGAATTCTAAAGTGCTTTGCATCTCTGCCAAGTGATCTGTAGCACACACAAAGCTATCTGTGGCACCATCTTAACACCCCAACCCCAAGGAGGCCCTGACAATTCTGAAACCAATGGCAAGTTCTCAGTCATTTCAAGGAGAAGCTCATCCTGGATTTTTAAATACAATCACACGTATTAGCAGTTATAGCTCTTCCTCACTGATGTCCCAAGTAACCTTTCAGGAGCTGCTTAATTGTGGAAGTAAAACATGAAAACTCATCAGGGCCAAATACACCAATCCCCAATAATAAAGATTTCTGTACCCCCTCAGTTTACCTGGAACAGGTCACCACGGCCTTTTCTAGAAGGGAGGAGGTAGTAGGGCAGTTTTTCCCCCA